TAAAGAAAATAAAAGAAAACCTTGAGTCATATAAACCACTTATATTGGTATTGTGCTTTCTAAAGTAAAATTTCAGTGTACATCATCTCAGTTACTAGAATTAAAAAGCATAACTCAGAGTCTAGTGTGCAATTTCTAATATGAGTGCCAAATTAAATATTTGAAATATAAATTGATCTTTGTAATAGAAATAAAAAAAATAAAAAAAATTAGCTGGGGCTATCCCACATGTATTCTGAATCCCCCAGTTGGCTCATGTAATTTTTCTTATGCTTCTATAACACATGGGATTCTTTCTATGAATGACATCAGTTTGGAAATACCCCGTGGTTTTCTGAGTTATAAATGGATATTTCGCTATAAATGCCTGATTATATTATGATTCATACTTTCACTTCTGTTTTTTTCTACTATCATTTTGAAAAAAGTGAAAATGAAACTGTTTATTGGCCAAGGGAGAGGAAAAAGTAAGGTGGACTATAATGATTCACAAAATATTCCAGGATTGTAGTTCAAATATTTTACAGTATTTCTGAAAATATTGTGAAAACCATTTCTTAAGGAAAAACAATGTAGATGTGACCAAAAACTATTTCTCTTGGTGAATTAACCTGAGACTTAACAATTACTGTCAGAGTTCTGCCTTACAGAACTAGCATCTCTAGCTGCTTATCTCTCTCTCTCTCTCTCTCTCTCTCTCTCTCTCTCTCTCTCAGCTCGTTTTCTTTGTAGAACCTAGTTTTCTGCCTAGAATTTGTTCCCTTAAGCATTGCACTATGATAGAAAGATAATGGCTAGACAGCTAGGAAGAAAGAAAAGAAGAAAGGAAGAAGGAAGGAAGGAAGGGAGGAAGGAAGATGTGGCAAGTTCCAGCATGGCTCCAGGTTTGAGAGCCTTTATTCAAACTCTAAGTTCCTGTAGGGCTGGAGTCACACCTGTTCATTGTTGTGTCGCTTGCACTTTTGTGAGTTCCCGGCACAGAGCAACATTCAACAAATATTTGTTGAGTAAATGAACACAGTAGCTGACAAACAATTCCTGTACCTTATGGTTTTCTGTGGAAAACCCCATGAAAAAAAATGTCTTTTGAGGTCTCAGCATTCTAGTAACCATGAAGTATCAGGAATCTAATAAATTTCTCTTATGAGATCCTTAAATCACTAATACTTCTTGTCATGAGGTAGGACGCCTAAGGCGAGATTCCACAATGCGTTGCAATTCTTTATTTAACATTACCTATTAGAATGGGGATTTTGCCAGAGATTATAAACCCTTTGTAAAGATCAGTGTGATTTAAAAATCTTTTGATTAAGTATAAATGTACTTTCCTGAGCTGTATGTCACCAAATGGCAGTTCCTACCAAAGAATTATGTCTTGTGGGCCAATATCTATTTATAAGAAAACACAATGTCTTGTGTTTTCTTATAAATGAATTAATTTCCCACCTTCAAATCTCCCCTTCCCAGACCAAAATTTTTTTTCTATCTACACTGCTTTGATGATTGTATTTCAAATTTAGCAACCCCTTTAGCGTAAGGCATTAGAGAGGACATCATCTTCTGTTTTTTAAGCATCGTTAACATCTTAGGATGGAGTCGTCTAACTGATCAGTTAGCCAGTCACTCTGGATTTCTAAGAGGTTGAACACAGGAGCAATATAATTGTATAAGGAGTAAGGAGTAAAAATTGTCTAGAGGGCAGCACATTTGTGAAGACTGTTTAGTAGGAAATAGAAAAATTATTCCTTCCCCAAATTGTTAGGAGTCCCAAAACACCATTTAAAAATATTAGAACACCCCAATGTCAGTTATACCAACAACCTGAGCTGAAAATAACATTGAGAATGTGCTGAGACTATTAATAAAATGGTTCTTGTTTGAAGCCACTTTATTTTGTGATAGTTAATCAGGAGTAAGTTACCAGAACAGAATTGCTATGAAGATTAAATGGATATTAATGAAAAGAAAGTCAAACACTGAGATTCTCTTTGAAAACTTAAGGCAAATAATGGCAGAAATATGGAAATCATCTCAGTGAAACAGAATAGCTTATAAACCAATAAGACTTGACTTGTAACCCGTTAAATAATTTTAAAAGGAATAATGTGTTAAACAGAAAGGGAGTTGGTCTGCTTCTCATTTGAAAGAAGAAACAATGAATCCATGAAGTTCACTTTGGCAGAGAATGCTAGAGAAATTTGTTCGCAAGTTTTGTCCTTCCTGGTGCTGATGGTTGAAATCGTCGCATTAATTATTCTTTGTTTGATGCCACTGAACATCTTGTTTAAATCATCTCCCACTTACTCTGAATTCATAGTCACTAAGCAATATTTTGATTATAATTTGATTTCTGATATAACTTTACAAGGAAGGAATGCTTTGGCTAGAGGACCACTTGGCAGTTGTATCTCTCATTATAGTTAATGAATTTTTCCCTTGGTTTTCTGCAGAATTCCTCTCAATCCAGTTTGTATAAGTTACAATTCCCAAGTTTGACCAAGTCTGGGTCACTGACAGGATTGAGTTTTCATATGGACAAGGCTGAGCAGCGGAGTTTGGGCTGTGATGGCTTCTCCCAGGCTGTTGCCACTTTCAGGAGTCCCCCTGGCCTTCCCGCTTTTTGTGGGGACAGGATGAAAGATTATCTGATAGAGTAGCGTACCACACATGTTGGCTTCCATTCCTAAGTGTTTCCTCCACCAGCTCATATATGGAAGAAGGAAAAGAAATAGTGACTGAGAAGCAGAGCAGGGAGAAAAAAGAGAGCAAAAGAGTTGGCTGAAAGAATGCTTTCTTGGCATGTTAAGTTCTGAGAGAAATCTCTCTCGTGATGGCGGATTGTACCTTGTCAGGTATATGGTAGTTAATTTCATGTGTCAACTTACCTGGGCTATGGGGTGCCCAGACTTTTGGCTGAACATTATCCTGAGAGTTTCTAACAGCTGAATTGGTAGACTGAGTAAAGCGGGTTGTCTTCCCCATGGAGGGGCCTTATCCAGTCAGCTGAAGACCCAGACAAAGCAAAAGGCTGACCACCAGCACAAGAGGGGACTCCTGCCTGCTGATTTGTGAGCTGCGGTATCAGTGTTTTCTTGCTTTCAGACTACCTGAACCATCAGCTCTCCTGGGTCTCCAGCTTGCCGAGTGAAAATCTGGAAACTTGTCAGGCTTCCTAATCATGGGCGCCATCATTTTCTTATGGCGAATCTCTCTCCATCTGTACACATCCTATTGGTTCAGTTTCTCTTGATGAACTCTGACTAATAAACACTTCAGGTGTCTTCAGGAAATGGCATGTTGCCGGAAAATTTTACTCTTGCAAATGAATTAGCTCTTGAATGTGCTCTTTGGCAGGGAAAAAATGTTTTCATCTAAACTAGAATTCTGTGACTCAGTGTGAATGTGTTTCCTATTTTTTTTTTTCTTTAATGAGGATACATCCCATCTCATCAACACTTGTCAAATGTATCCCCAGTAATGGAAAATTATACCCAGTAATGAACTTAAAAATTCGGTGTCCCCTTATGTCAGAGATGCCTGTGGCCCATATTGTCTGGTTGGTTTTATTTGTGATGCTGCCACACTTCCTTTAGCTTAATAGGCTTTTCCCTCAAATCCCCAAACTCAAGCCTGACTCATCTCTTCACTGAACCATCCACTACAAAGTCAATAGCTCTATGACTTGCAAGTCCTGCCAGAGTGTTTTTAAGTATGATTTATTAAAGGAAAATATAAGTCAACAAGTGACTATACTCCGTCACAGTAGCATAAGACCATTCATTAATTCCACAAACATTTATTGAGAACCTACCAATGCACCAAACTGGAGAAACAGAGATGAAACAGACACAGAGCTTTTTCTTAAAGACAGAACATAGGAAAACAGACATGAAGACCAACCAGGGAAAGGAAAGTTTATTGAGCATCTATGCTTTACCGGGCACTCCATTGGGGGCTTTGCAATGGATCTTTGCAACAGCTCTCCGAGGTAGATACTATGATCCCTCATTTATGAGGACACCTAGGCTCAGAGAGATCTCGTTAGGAGGGTAGAAATTATAGCTAGTATTCACTGAGCCTCTGTGACAGACTGGCGTTCAAACCCAGATCAGTGGCTTCCTACTTTGCACTTCACCTTGTTGCTTTGTTCTAGAGTAGACCTACGCTGTGTGATAGGATAGCCACTAGCTACCTGTGGCTCTGGAGGACTTGAAATGTGGCCAGTCCAAGTTGAGATGTGCTGTAAATGTAAAATCTCAAACCAGATTTCAGAGACTTAGCATGAAAAGAATGTAAAATATCTCACTACTACTTTGTATATCGATTAATGTAGAAATTGTAATATTTTGGATAAATCATGATGTATTAGTCTATCATCTATCTACAGAGAGAGAGACAGAGATATATAGAAAAAGAGAGAGACAGTGACAGAGCAATAGGAGAGAGAGAAGGGGTATATATTTTAAGGAATTGGCTCATGCTGTCCTAAGGCTGGTAAGTCTAAGGCTGGCAGGCTGGAGATTCAGGTAAGAGTTGATATTGCAGCCTAGAGTCTGAAATCTGCATGATTAAACCCGGCAGGCTGAACACTCAGGCAGTATAATGGACTAAGTTTGAACAATTTATATGTTAAAGCTCTAATTCTCAATATGACTAGTTTTGAAGATATGACCTTTAAGAGGTAATTAAGTTTAAATGATGTCATAAAGGTGGGGCACTATTCTAATATGGCTGGTGTCCTTATAAGAAGAGGAAGAGACACAAAGGCTGCATGAGTACAGAGAAACACCCATGTAAAGACACAAGAGAGATGGTGGCCCTCTGCAAGCCAAGGAGAGAGGTCTCTGAAGAAACCAAACTGCCAACCTTGATCTTGGACTTCTAGTCTCCAGAACTGTGAAAAAATAAATTTTTATTGTTTAAGCCACCCAGTCTGTGGTATTTTCTTATGATATCCCTAGGAAACTGATACAGGATTTCTATTTTGCAGTCTTGAGTCCCAAATTCCTCCTTTGGGAAACCTCAGCTTTCAACTGATTGGACGAGGCCCACCCACATTATGGGAGGTAATGTACTTTACTTAAAATCTACTGATTTAAATGTTAATGATGTCTAAGAACATTTTCACAGCGCATCTGGATTGGTGTTTGACCAAGCAACTGGGCACCATAGCCTAGCCACATTAACACAAAAAATTAATCATCACACTTGGACTCAATAAAATATACTATTAACATTTTCCACCTGTTCCTTTTTCCTTTTTAAAATGTGGCTACCAGGAAATTTTAAATTATATATGTGGCTAACATTTGTCACATGAAATTTCTATTGGACAATACTGCTGTAGACACTCCCCACACTGTATTCCACATCCTGTGACTATATATATATATATATATATATATATATATATATGTATATATATATATATATATAATTATAGTTGACGATATTTGTCAACGATATATCTGATAAAGGGTTAATATCCAAAATTTATAAAACACTCATTCAATTCAAGCAAAAAACCAAATAACCCAATTAAAAAATGGGCAGAGGATATGAAGAGACATTTCTCTAAAGAGGACATACAGATGTATGAAAAAGTGTTCAACCTCACTAATCATTAGAGAAATGCAAATAAAAACCACAATGAGATACCACCTTGCTCCGGTCAGAATGGCTGTCATCAATAAATCAATAAACTGACTAGTTTTTAATGAAATATGATTAAGAGAAAATAACCTCTGATGGTCTTATAGTCAGGAACTCTGGATATTTTTGATTAAGTGGAAGAAAAATATAGATTCAGAAAACTGAGAAGATTTTTCATTAATCAATAAAAGGATTGTCCCAGATGTGCTACAAAAGAAGCAAATATATTGAGGTGAAAAGCAGGATGGTTTAATTCAAGTGCATAAATAAACACATTGACAAATTTTTACTATCTCTATTAGTAATAATCAGGATGACTTGTCTGGTTTTATACTCTTCATGAAGTTTGGTCACCTAAAATTGCTGATATTTGACAATTTTTTATTGCAAAACAGCATTTTCTTATGGTTCAATTCTCTCTTAAAGAGATATTCCCCTATCTCTCTTCTGTGTCTCAGGAAACATATCATTTCTTGTCAGTCTTTTGAAAAGAGGCCAACTTTGGTTGACTTTGCTAAATAGAATGGTGATTCTCCTTTCTTTGCCATCACTATGTGTTCATCCATCTTCCATCTGGAAAGTGTGGGCTAGTAAGATGTAATCCACTATTTGATCAAGGGTAATGAGACTTCATGTAGTAAAAAGAATGGAGGAACTTGTGAAGATCCAAGGACCTGCCATTTTTATAACTTCTCTTTTAGAGAAAATGACCGGAAGCAGTATCTTCTTGACTCATGTTGAGTGAAAGCAGTGGGCACCACGGATTGGACCAGGGATCAAGAGGTAAAGTCTATTAGAGGGAAGGAGATGAGAAGTCATGATGACCAAAAGAGATGACCTTGGTTTCTGAATTTCCAGTTGCTCGTCTGTCTCTAAGAGGCCTTCCTGTACTTTATTTCTCATCTATGAATATCCATGAAACTTGCCTTTTGCAGCTTTCTAATAGAACTCTACTTGTGCTTGTTAGCAAAAACTTTTTTCCTCACCACAAAATAGTCCCAGACCAAGACAAGAACTAAACGAGGTTGATATATGTGAGGTTTATTTTTTGTTTTGTTTTGTTTTTTCTTTTCTTCTTTTGTCAATTATAAAGGCAAATCTGTGGTGTGGCTATTTAAAAAAGAGAAATGTTCTTTCTCTTGTGAAACTTGGCTTTCCGGATTCGAAATTTGTTTCATGTTGGACAATTCGATCGTTTGTGAAAAACCAGTAGTCAAGGAGAAGATGTTGCTTCAATGAGGTACGAAATGCATGCTATTAGGTGGATTTTATTTTAGACAACACAAATGCACAAGCAAATATCATTCATTTACAATCCAGAGGCTTTTAGGAGTTGTTCAGTTGGAGTTCCCCTTTTCACTTCAGAAGGGATTAATCTGAGCTCCTGCTGTTTACGGACAACCAAAGAGGTCACCTCTGGCCACACTTTAAAAGTTAGTTGTACAGCTATAAAATCAATTGACCTAGACCTTAAATATTAAACCTTGTGAAAAGGTTTTGTCCCTGTAGCTGTATGAACAAGGGATTTTAGAAAATTATTTTACTAAGACATAGAAAACACATTGGAGAATATTACAAATGCACTTATTTTACTTATTTCACACACCTTTTCATTGGCCTTCGGTGGTGGTGGTGGTGGGATTATTCAAGCAAAGATTGAGCTGAACTTAAAGGGTAAAGATCTGAAATTGGAAAAATCATCTTTCTTTTCTTTATTTCTGAACAGCAGTTCTTCAAAGCTTCCTAATATTTTGTTTTTCCTTACCTGTGGGTAAGGAGATCTGGGGTTAACCTACATTTCCTTTAGTAATGTTTGTTCAGTTATAGAGCAGATATCTTCATCTGTGTTATGTGGTATCCTTGGTACCAGATGTCAGTGGGGTATAGAGCCATTCTAGAACTTTTCCAAGGCTAAACGATAAGTGTAGGGATCACGTATAAGTAGACCATGTCTCTGGTTTAGAATCCCAAAGACAGCATCTCTTAGTGGAGCAAAGATTGTATTTTAGGGGTTATTTTTCTTATTCTTGGCAAGTAACATGTTGCATATAGTCGGATTTTTTTTGGTGACTAGAGAGGGACTAAGCTAGGAGGGAACTGTTGATTATGGGATAAAAGCACAAACCTTCATACATGTGTATTTCCTGAAGCTGAACATGAGTCTGCATAGCCTCTCACCAATGCCTGCAGTCATTCAGACATTCTAGAATCAATAACGTGTATTCATATTCTGAAGGCTCCACTGGCTCTCCGTCTGCTCATCATTGCTTCAGGACTTCATTAAGCCCTAGAGACACTAGTAGTAAATGCCTAGTCCTCTAAGGTCTGTTTTGTACCAGTTACCAGTTGGGAAAAATTGGGTAAAATGATGTTATTTTATCATATCTTAGAGATGACATGAAAGCCTCTCCATCTATTATTTAATTTAATATTTTAAAACTCCTCAAAAGAAGGTATTATTGAATATATTTTACAGATACAGAGGCTGGAGTTTAAAGAAGTGTACCTGACTGCCCTCCCCCCACACACACCATTACTAAGTAAGTGGAAACTTCAGGATTTAAATCTAAGTTTATTTCATTCCCAAACTGCTGCTCTTAACAAGTACAGTAAACTTCTAAGTACTTTTTTTTTTTTGCCTTCAAGGGACTGAAATTCTAGTCATACTGGTAAACTTGTTAGTAATCAATCAAGAAGGTTATGGTGGAGGAAAGCATAGACACTAAGAAAACATGGGAGACGCTGATGGATAAGACATGGCATCCTAGGGAAGGTGGCTGTGCTGGATGAGAAAGAGTCAGTCAACAGTGATGGAAGAAAACCATATTTCAAGCATTGGGGAAGGCCTGTGCGCATTCTGGAGATGACATTATTTTGGGGAAGGTGGGACCAGAATGGAAATTGAGGAGTGATCTTGAGTGAAAGTAGATAGATTGGTAGAGACCTTGTGTAGAACCATTGTACAGCAACCTTAAAAGATTGGATTTTATCCATAAATCAATAGGAAGACTTTGAGGATTTCATAACTAAGAGTAACATGAACAGATATGAATGTTAAAAATATCATTTTGGCAGTTGTGTGAAAATTAGGCTTGAAATGGCCAAGGTTGGATTCAGGGAAAACAGATTCTGCTGTTGATGGGTAATTTGTGCAAGAAAAGATGAGTTCCCAAATATGATAGTGATAATATAGATGAAGAAGAAGGGAAGATTTGAGGGGAGTTTGGTAGTAGAATTTATTGAATTTGGTGATTGGATTGAATGTAAAGAGGAGATTAAAAAAAAGATCTCAAAGGTAAGTGCTAGTTTTCTGTCTTGGCTGACTGTTTTAGAAAAGGAGTGGCTATGTGGGAGGAGCAAGGTACTGGAAAAATAATTGGGCACCTCTGCAGGACACCCAGATGGGGAGGCTGAGAGTTGCACAAATGGATTTGGAGCTGAGCAGAGAGATCCAAGCTAAAGATGTGCTTCGGAACTCATTAGCATAAAGGTGGTAATTCAAATCATTAGACAGGATGAAATCTTTTAGGGACAGTGGGAAGAAAGAGGAAGAAGAGGACGAATAGAGGACACTCCAACATTTAAAGGATGGGTAGAGGAAAGGGAGCCTATGAAAGATAAAGAGAAGGCAAAACCAGGTAGGCAGAAAGTAATCCAGGGCTGACCACAGGCAACTAAACAAAGGGAGATAAGCACTGCCAAAAGGGGGGTGCTGGGGAACAGCTTTCAATTCTACAGAGAAAAGACTGAAAAGCATCTTTTACATTTAGCAACACGGTGATGATTGACATACATTTGTCTTCAGTTTGATGACAGCTTTTGTTCCTTACTCTCCTCATTGGGATAAGGTGTAGGATGGTTAGACACTGCTGGGGGGAGAGGTGTTAGCTTGGAGTGTGCACTCTACTCCAATATCCACAAAGAGGCAGCATGGTAGAAAAGGGTTTCTCTCAGCTTCTTGAAGTGAAATTACTGAAACCAACCTTATAGTTAAATGACTTCTAAATAATTTCTCTCTTCATACACCCCACCTGTGGAAATCAAGTGACTGCTCCTTAGAAGGAGACAGGAATAAGGGGTTATCCTTTCCCACCTCATTTTCTCTGAGTATCTCCATGCAGCAAACATTGGAAAAAGAATCTATATTTTCCGTATTAGCAGTTGTGGGTTTATTAGATGGGTTTGTATACTCATAGTATTAAGAATATAATTTCTACCAATCACACTGAGTGAGAATTGTGCTTTTATCCTTTGTGACACTGGGCAACAAATCAGAAACAAAAACTTTCAGTTGTGGAGCTTGAATTGAAGTCAGATTAAGTCTGTTTGGACACTGCCTCATACTTCCTGGGTGATCTTGGGCAATTTAACTAATTTCTTTTTGTTTTAATGTCCTCATAGGTGAAGTGGGAATGATGCTATTTACCTTGTCAGGTGTTTATAAGTATTTAAGGAGATACTGTACATTAAGCGTTTAGAACAGTTCTTGGCACATAACTATTGCCTCATAAATGTGAATCACTATTATTTCATTTCTAGTCTTTAAAGTTAACCTTCCTTCTCTGCTTTGGGACCCATCCCTGTTTGAAGATTTTCAGGCATTGCTCCCACACTTCACCACATTCCACCCTGTTTAGGGTTGTCATCCTCCCTCCCTCCCTCCCTTCAAATCTTCATTGCCATTGCTCATGCCTAGAGTTCAATTACTTCAAGCAAATCGACTTTTTTCTTTGAATCCTGATGCCTCTTTAATGAACTTTGATTTTATTTTCTTCCTTTCATGAACAATCTTCCAATTAATAGTCTACACTGTATGACTAATGTTAAAATACACGATCTGTTTTGTTTGTAAACTTAGGAATGGAAACTTAGCCTCCTGAAACTGCTTATGGGAAGGGTGTTAGTGACTTATTTCTAGTGAAAATGGCCTTTTAAAATCCTCTACCTCCTGGGTTATTCAGCTGCATGTGATTTCATTGAGAACGCCTTTCTTGAAAAAGCTCTTACCCTTTTCTGTGTCACCACAACATCCTCAGTCTTTTCTTCAGTAGTTCTTATTTTCCTTCCCACATCCCAGTCATTGGAGTTTCTCAAGGATTAGTCTTTAGCTTTCTCTTCTCTTTTATACACTAATTTCTTCATAGAGCTTTATCTACTTAGAGATTTTACCATAAAATTAATAATGAAAAGTATTACAGATGTACAATGCAGTGGTCAGAGCGTTGAATAATATTATGTCAACTATAATTTAATACATATAATTTACTATATAATATATGTAATTTAATATATAGTCATACAATGTGGAGTAGAGTGTGGGAATGGAGTCAATGGAATTGTAATAGATAAGTATGATATCGGGGATGGGGGAGCAGTGGGTGGGGGAGGGGGTTGTCACTTTGTGAGTGGTGAAAAGGATAACATTGTTTTGTACACTGAAACATAATAATAATAATAATAATAATAATAATAATAATAAAAGTATTACATCTACAACTGTGCTCTGAGTTTTTAGCTTATACTCAACCTCCATATTTCCAAACAGCTAGAACCCCTGCTATCTTCTCATTCCTCAGCAGGTAAATTCAGCTTTTATCCTTTCTTGGGCTTTACGATTTTCTAATCAATGCAGACTTCTCCCTTTTCTATATTTCTCTTAGATTACACAATGCAGTTAGTATCTGTCTTTTTTCTTTTTAGAGTATGATTCAATTTTTACTACATTTAATAAATATACCAAAATATAGTTTTCTTTATTTGCTTTCTAAAAGATGTTTATTAAAAAATAGTTAGCATGCAATGTTATATTAGTTTCAGGTGTATACAATAGTTATTCAACATTTATAAACATAAAGAAGTGATCACCATGATAAGCCCAGCAACCATCTGACACTGTACCACGTTATCACAATATTGTTGACTATATTCTCTATACTGTACATTACATCCCCATGACTTACTTGTTTTAAACCTGGAAATTTGGACCTCTTATTCCCCTTTACCTTTGCCCCCCATTTTTAATATTTCAGTTACAGTTGACATTCAATATTACTTTATATTAATTTTAGGTGTACAGCATATGTTTAGATGTTTATATAATTTAAGGAATGATCCTTAATTAGACTGACTAGTGTAGTACCCATCTAGCTCTATACATAGTTATTACCATATCATTGATTATATTCCCTATGCTTTACTTTACATCCTCATGATTATTTTATAACTATCAATTTA